ACCCACCAATGTTTCCGAAGTGCGATCGTTTCTGTGAGCCGTTAATTTCTACGGCAGATTCGTGCGCAACATCCATGAACTTCGTCATCCTCTCGACCAATTACTCAAGAAGGATTCGAAGTGGCAGTGGAATTCCGATTGCGAACGGTCTTTTGAGCAATTCAAGCAAGTCCTGCAGTCCGATATGTTGCTGACGCATTACGACCCGAAGTTACCAATCGTAGCAGCGGACGCCTCCAGCACGGGCATCGGTGCAGTCATCTTCCATGAATTTTCTAATGGACATCTGAAGGCAGTCCAGCACGCATCAAGATCCCTCACTCCAGCGGAGAAAGGTTACGGGCAGCCGGAAAAAGAAGCACTTGCACTAATATATGCGGTAACGAAGTTTGACAAGTACCTCCTTGGGCGCAGATTCACTCTGCTCACGGATCACAAACCGCTGTTATCAATCTTTGGATCGAAGAAGGGCATTCCTTTGCACACCGCAAATCGACTTCAACAATGGGCATTGATGCTTCTTAACTACGACTTCGACATTCGGCACGTGTCTACCAACGACTTCGGATGCGCCGATATGCTGTCAAGACTCATCGACCGTTCTAAGCAGCACGAAGAGGAGTACGTTGTGGCAGCGATATCCCTAGAAAAAGACATGGTGAGCATTATTCAAAACACTATCGAGCAGGTACCAGTTTCGTTCGCAGGCATCAAAAGTCCAACACAGGCAGATGAACCACTACAAGCGGTGCTGCAGTTCATTCGTGAGGGTTGGCCAAACGATGCACGATCAGTCGAAGATCCAGGGATTCGAGTCTACTTCAACAGGCGGGAGTCTCTCACTAACGTCGATGCCTGTATACTGTTTCACGACAGGATAGTCGTTCCGAGCAAGTTCAGAAGGCAAATCCTGAAGCAGATTCATCGCGGACATCCCGGCATGGTACGAATGAAGTCTATTGCACGCAGTTTCGTTTACGGGCCCGGAATCGACAACGACATCGAGAATTTCGTCCGGCAATGCACTCCCTGCTGCACTGCTGGAAAAGCACCAGTCAAAACAACGCTTGAATCGTGGCCCATCCCTGATAAGCCGTGGTCACGCATCCATATTGACTACGCAGGACCTGTGGACGGCGTATTTTTCCTGGTAGTTGTCGACCCGTACACCAAATGGCCCGAAGTATACGCAACTAAAACCACAACGACAAGAACAACAACCAAGCTACTTACTCAAACGTTCGCAACATTTGGCGTGCCAGAAACCATCGTTTCAGATAATGGTACCCAGTTCACCAGCTACGAGTTCAAGAATTTCTGTGAGAATCAAGGCATTCATCACGTCCTCACAGCACCATTCCATCCTCAATCAAATGGGTTAGCAGAACGGTTCGTGGACACCTTGAAGCGCTCTCTTCGGAAGATTCGATCGGGAGGAGACACACTGGAGGAAGCATTGCAGACGTTTTTGCAAGTTTACAGGTCAACACCAACGGCTGACCTAGGTGAAAAGTCTCCTGCAGAAATAATGTTCGGATGACCGGTCCGCACAGCTTCGTCAATGCTGCTACCACAACACAACCGTACATCAGCAGCACAACCGAAAGCAGATGAGCAAAACAAGCGTTTCAACAAAAAGCATGGAGCGATTTCGAGGCAGTTCGTTCCGGGTGATGCTGTATATGCTCAAGTCCATCAAGCAAATTCCTGGAAATGGGCTGCCACAGTAATCGAGCGTGTCGGAAAAGTCAACTACAACGTTTTCCTGGAGGATAATCAGCGGCTCATCCGTTCTCATGCCAATCAACTGAAGCAACGTGCGGTTGAATCTGGTCCAGATCCTAGTCCAAGCCAAGGTCCTAGTCTGTTATCGGTATTCTTCAACGGTTTTGGCCTAGACGTACCATCCGTTCCAGCAACGATACCGGCTGCAGTGCCCGACAAACTTGGTCCAGTTGATGAAGAGCTTGGAAGTGATGAGGCGGAGTATTTTTCGGATGATAGTGAGGCACCACAGCAAGATCCAGTACCAGTTCCGCCAGCAACAAGGGAACACCGGCAGACTCGTTTACCAGCTAGATTCGAGGACTACTGGATGAACTAAGAGGGGAGATGTTCCATCCAAGTAATCACAATGTTCCATTCAAGTAATCGCAGCAACCTACAGCTGCGACCGAGATGGAAAAAATGAGTGATTCGAAGTGTAGATGTCAACCTGAATAAACGTATAGTTAGAAGCACTCAAACTTTCTTTATTCTTTGAGAAGAACACTTCATTAAACAAATTTGGAGAACTTCAGGTAAGCATAGATAAGTTCAGAGAAAATAAGCTAGTGTTAATAATGGTTATAATGCTTAAGGAACAATTTTGTAACTTCAAGGCAAGTTAATTAATTTTAGTAAAGTTGCGAGTTCTTAAAAAATACTGATGAATTCACTGCAGTCTAGAGAACTTTAAAGAAATTTAGTAATCATTTAGGCACCAGGAAAGTCTAGACTATTGAAGAAGTTTTAAATTAATGTCGATAATTTAAGGGAAGTTTTATGGACTTCAAAAAAATCTTAGGAACTGCAGTGAAAATCTTAGAACTATATTAATTATTTCGTTGGAATTTCATGAAAATTGCGGGAGCACAAAAGTTCCAGAAATTTAGAAAAACTTCGAAAACTGCACAGAAGAACAGTGGTCTTCAGAAACAATACTTCATAGAAATCTATGGAGCTTAAGATGAGATCCGCGAACTTCAGGAAATTTTATGAACATTAGCAAAATGCGGGAGCATTTGAAAGAAGTTTAGTAAGCTCCGAAAATTAGTTTTAGAAAATTAGTGGGGAATTTGAAGCAGTTCCCAGATTTTCAGATAACTTCAGAGACGTTAAAAAGTTGTTTGAGGTCTTCGCATAAGTTCAGAAGTTCACTCAAGTTTAAACATTTTCAGGACGATTTAATTAAATTCAGCGCAGTACAACAAGCTTGATGAGAACTGCAAAAACTTTAGAGAAGTTTTGAGAATTTCATAAAAGAACATAGCAGTTCAGTCAACATTAGAGAAGTCACATAAATTTTAAAGACGTTTAGATAACTAAAGTGAATTATTATACCTTTAAAGAAGATTCATGATCGTTAGAAAAATTGATGAAACTTTAGGAAGTCCTATAAAGTTCCGGATTTGAGGAGAAGTATTGTGAGCATCACGCTAGTTTATCAAACTACAAAAGAACTTCAAGTCAATTTCATTAACTTCAGGAAAAATTTGAGAACTTTCAAGTGGTTCTGAAGACCTCAAAATAGTCCATTCCTTATTCAACGGAGATTTCCTCAAAATCTCGATGAAGCTATCGTCAGAATAAAATTTTCTTTTAGTTTTCTTCTGAATTACCTTGAAATTCTTCACAATTAGAAATCCTTTGGAAAGATTCTCCGAGTATTCATTGAATTCATTTCATATTTCCTTTTCAATCTCACTCCTTCCCTTGGAATTCTACTCACATTGAAAGTGCCCTAAAAATTCATTGACATTTCTCCTCAGAAATTCCTTCGATTTCTTCTCATAATTTGTTTGGCAAACTCTCCTGAATTTATTTTCCGAAATTATTAATACATTTAATTATAATCCTCCTTTTAGTATTTTCAAAAAATGTCCAAGGACTTGTGCTCCGGATTCATTTTCCCCCACAAACTTTATGAAATTATCCTCAGAATGCCCTTGGAATTTTCTGGTAAAGTTCACAGGAGTTGTGCTCCTCAGAAATTCCTAAGAGTTTTCATTAAAATTTACTTTTGCCTCAATTCAGGCTTTCTTGTAATTCTACTTAAAACTAAGGCTTCACATGAAATCGAGATTCTTGAAAATTTCTTGAAGTATTATAGTTTTTAAGTCCAAAATTAATTCAAATTGTTTTTTTTTTTAGGAAATATGCATGTTTCGAAACCAAAATTAAAAAAAAAATATTTATTTTATTAAATTTATTAATCCACTGTAAATCTTTAAAGCTCAAAGTGTGAATGAAAATGGAGCCTTCCAGGTATTTTAAGGAAACAAAAAAATTCCTGAGGATTCCCGGTTTTCCAGATTTTTGAAGTTAGTAGACACCGTGACTAATACCGTGGGTTTGGTCTATTAAATCTTTCGCTTTAAAGGTTCATATCGTACATAAGTGTTAATGAGATAATAATTGAATAAGTCTAAAATATCAAACATTTATTTAATGCGCCTTCTCTTAGGTCACTTTTTAGTCACTATTTGGTCACTTTTTTATTCAACATGGTGAACAGCAGTGATCGCTACTAGCCCTGTAATGGGGTGTTTACATATACGCTTGTTCACTAGCTCAACCAGCTCAACCAAATTGCACAAATTTCAGTTGTTTCTGAAATCGCATACAGGTAGATGCTGACGATGCTGACGCCCTGTTTACATTAGACTGGCTACTTTTTAGTACAGTTCGAGTACACTAGCGGTAGCAAATCAGCACAGATGTAAACACCACATAAACCTGAACGGAAGAAGAGCAGCAGATACCAAGCCCATACAATTCTGAAAAGCCTGGAACGAAAATTTATGAAAGATGCAGGACCCAATTCAAATATGACGTCCACTTTTGAGGGGAGGGGGTCCTAGAATTTGTGACAGTATGGGAAGTTAATGCAATCAAAAAACCTAGAAATCTCACATTTAAAAATATAGCACATGATACTGCAAAACGTACTAGTACTAAAATTGATTACGATTGTACATTATTTTGACATTTCAATTGAATATCCCTACCTGGCTCTTCATTTTTGAAAAATTAAAAGAACTAAACAAAAATTACTGTGTACGGCGACGCCGTTCACCACCCTAATTAGCACATAAGAAAGCAACCAGCACTATTTGTAATATTTGATCCGATTCTAAATTAGGTGTTCTTTTAATTCCCGAACCAGTCTATAATTAATAGTCAGCAGCTACCTTACTGTAGTAATCCAATCAAACCATTTCCCTTGTTCTTAATTGCAGACTGCTGTTCGAGCAGATCCATGCCAAAATCGCGCCCGCGGCCCGTATCACACTTTCGTGGTGTCATCACGACCTCGTCGGCAAAGATTACGACCACCAATGGCAATGGGGACTCGACAACATTCACCCTGATAACCACGAAGACAACGTCGACGATCAGCGAAGCCCAGTCGGAAACGACCTCCACGGTAACGGATCCCCGTAGTGGACCCGGACCTGGAGGTGGCAGCGGTAGCCCCGGCGGGACGAGCAGTAATGCCGGTAACAGCAAGGACCAGTTGATGCGGATGGGCAAGTGCTCACTGCTCTTCGAGGAAAACTACTGCCTGAACGGTGGCAAGTGCTACAACTTTACGATCGCAAACTCGACGATGCCAACGTGCGAATGTGCCGACGGATTCATGGGTGAACGGTGCGAGTCAAAGTACTTAGATGGGACTTACCTAAGCATGCGTAAGTCCAAGATTCACATCGAAACCGCCAGCATCTACTATGGCGCGTTTTTGGCACTAATAGTGGTGCTAGTATTGCTATACTTCCTGCATTGCTTCCAGTCATCGTCCTCCTCGGCAGGAGGCAGCAAACTGCTGAAGAAGAGCAAAAAGGTGGTGAGTTAGCTAACTTTTCGCTTTGCCTTTGGCATCATTGGTTACTCTACTTTTGTTTAGATGGCTCCTCTGCCCTAAGCGCCTAAGCACACTCTCCGATTATTGGAAAGTACTTACACCGAGCCAGGTCGTATTATTTCGTTGTATTGTTCATGTTGGTTAGGCTAGTAGAAGTAGGAAGGTTGATTCCGAGAACGACGGTAAATTACGGACAAATTTAGACAGCTTTCTTTTGTATGTATTTATATGGTCCCCTCCGGGCGAGGGGCTGAATTATAAATAGTTCTGTACAAAGCGGAACGCTCGAACCACCAGACTCAGACATAGATTGGATCCAATCTGAAAGCAGCTCCATTCGAGCCGTTCGAAGTGATATCGGTATAGGCCAGTGTTTTTTGCATGCAGATGTGCATTGCATGGGAATGATAGAAACGAAGGGAATCACCTCGAATATCGAATTGCGATACATTTCGGATTGAGATACTCAACACACACACACACGGCTAGAGACAGAATGAAACCAGATAGAGAGATAGACAGGAGAGAACGCGATTATTATTCGATTTATAAATTTGCTCCATCAGATATTATTCCCCTCCCAAGTGTAAAAATTAGCTGCTTAAGTGCGATAGTGTGTAAGAAAAAGTATCGTTCGTTTTCTAGGGTTAGGAAAAGTAAGTTAGTTAGAGATAAGAACAAAAGCATCACGAATCCGACTATAGCCAAGAGAGCAACAAACAATAACAGATTAAAAACCGATAACCAGTCGAAATTTCATTCCCAAACCACATACGACTCAACAAACTGCAATAGTTCCATCCTTCATTCCCGCCAAAACACAGAACAAACAATAGATTAATTACAGTAGGGTATTTTTTTCTTTCTTTCTTCACTCATCAAACTAATGAGCCAAAGAGTACGTTTTAGTACTTTTAGAATTTGTAAGTTGCAGCTTATATTTTTGTTTTTTTTTTCTTGTGCGCAATACAGATATTATATAATAGTATTTCTCACATTATGTAGAATAAAAATCATCGAGAATGTCCAATCAATGGATTGTCACATACGTCACACTATCATACACATACACACACACACACGCGCGCGGAGCACTCTGTAAGATAATACATTGTGGTCAAAATGGTAGTACCTTCCCGTACCAGATGGCGAGGAAGGTCACCGATTAACAATATCGAATCAGTATTATAGAACCTATTGGGCGATCAATCGCCGCGACACTCACAAACCACCCTCATCATCCTACTCCTTTTTTTTCTCGTTTGTTCGATTTATCAACATCAGCATTTATTCCGCTTGCTTGCAACGGCAGTAACCGATGCAGATATTGAAGTTGGCGCATTAGGGTGACAATGAATAAGTTTTTGAACCCGGCTATATACACTATGTTCATTGCCTCGAAAGAAGACCAATCGGGCAGGATTTGGGGTGGCGAAAAATCGTCAAAATTTGAACTTTTATCATCTGACTAATCTTTTAAAGTGAGGAGTATATGAAATTTAGGAAATCAAGCTCAAATTTTGCATAGGATCTTTTTGCTAAGCAATGAACATTTTGTGTATGGTCGGTTTGAAAAATTCGATGGTCACTTTTTTACCATACATTTCGTTGGCACCCTAATGCACATTCGCGTCGTTAGAAATGTTTGATTTCATTCTAGCCTTACACATGTTGTTTTTTTTTTTTTAATTTGTTGATTTTGAACGAACACTGAATTAATTCAGCTTTAATAAATGCAATTTTAAGGACATGGTTGTTGAAACCAATGCTAACGATAGAGCACTGACAGTTTTATTTATGAACCGCTCCTGCAAGCCAACGAATACAGAGTATTAGTAGGACTATCTGTCACAAAGACTGACCAATCTCACGCTTTATCATACAAACGGCAAGAGACAGACACTATATCGCCATCTACCGGTTATAGGTAAAAGCTCCGAACGAATTCGATAGCAAAGAAGCCAAAATCTAATTAATGGTTTGCGATGGTTTCACTGAAAACGAAACTAACCTTCAGAGAGTGAGTCACTTTTACTCAATTAGTAAAAGTGACTCACTTTCTGAGTAAGATTCGTTTTCAGTGTTTACCTTATTTTGTCGCTTGTTTTCTGGCAGAGTTGCCAGTCTTTTTGATTTACTATCTTCGGTATTCGTCAGATTACTAAAAATCACTTTTGATAGTCAACTTTTGGATTAGGCATTCAGACTTTCAAACTCAAGAGTTGACATTCAAAACGAAAGTACACATTAATCGTTAGTGGTTAGTCGAGAATGTTGTACCTAAAATGGTAATAGGGTAAGGTATGATAAGATGGGTCAATTAGTACATTTATTAATTTATTTGTTTATCAATATCAACAGGTTCAGTGCAACCCCAATGGTGTTTTGCTTTTATAAACCTGTTTTAATGCTACATTGAGTATGTTGATGTTGTCAAAAAATCAAATAGATGACCCATCGTAAATTGTAACCTAATTGATCCACCTTACTCTATTATTTTTCTTTGGTTAACCTGTTTGTCTAATACCACAGATTGTTGTAGTATGGTTGCGGAAGGTAGGTACTTTGGAAAAATCTAGATCAGCTTTTCTCAACTGTCGCTAAAATTGGGACTACGCCCAAATTCCGAAATAAAGCATTTTTGATCAATTTTTCATTAGCAACCAATAATAGCCATTTGTATTATCCGGATAATGCATTGTCCTAAGGAAAATTGAAGAACAAGGGACTTCCCATCTGCAATCTCATTACAACACCTAATTTCAGAAGTCAAATACTACATGTTAACCGTTGCCACAAATAGTTATCCCTAATCGATCAATACTCACTTAAAAAAGCTGTCGTCCTTTCGGAAATCCGAGAAAGAATAATGCAAATTTCTGCACGCGAAGAAATTATTTGGTTCCTATCAACTGATATGTTGAATTTATTTATGTAACGAAAATTTTGCATCACATTTATTACGAGAAAATAACTTCCCACACACGAGATGGAAGAACTCTCTAAAAGCAACTAACATTCCACCCTTTATATATGTATGCTTATAATTATTATGTATTTAACAAAAGAAAGGTCTACTTATATTATTGCTATTACCCTTATAAATGTAAGAAAATACTTCGTACGGACCCCTGGTTCTCACATTAGACAATAAGCAACTGTCACGAAAATTTGAGAACCACGGCGTAAAAGTGACTCAATTATACAACTACACACAACTTACACGTATACATACATACACACACACATACTGCATATATTCTTACAACAGAAGATAACACGCTTCAAGCCTTATTCGAAAGTGAAAATCAAATCAAAACATTAAATCCTAACACTACGCGTTGCCTTTTCTCATATTGAAGTAAAATAAAATATACACTATTTTCTATCAACGCGGCACCAACATTTCAAAAGGGCGAAACTGCGCTGGTGAACATTTTCAATTGAAGTCACTGAGGTTCGCCCATTTGAAATATTGCTGCTGAACGACAACAAACCACGACGATTATTATACACTTTTGGAGTGAACTCTTCCGCCCCAAGCAAAACAATAGCATGTTTCTTGTAAAAAGTTTGTCCACTAAGAAGAACCCTCTAGGTAGAGAAAAAAAGGTACGGAAAGAAAAATCAGAATTCAATGTTGTTTATTTTAGCTTTTATAGCTCGTTTATTATATTGCAACGAGTAACACTATTTAATGAAAATGGTAGAAACCAATCTTACTACTAAACATAATAACAATTTGCTTACTACGAAAACAAACGAAATAGCACTCACTGGCAGCATTTTTTTTTCTCACACGTATAAACCGAGCAAACACACGGACTCATACTTGTACACTCACTTAAAATGTTATTTGTTGATTTTTTATGGCGGAAAAAAATGGTACACAAAAGGAAAGGGAAAGAAACATGTTACGTGGAAACTAAAAAAGAAAATACGGCAAAGACTGATGTATATGTCTTAATCTATTTAAAGAAAAAAGAAAACAAGAGAAGTAACTAAAACTACATTTTTACTATACACATTTTCTAGAATCTCAGTGACAAGAAACACTAAACAACGAAGATCTTTTTTTTTTCCTAAAGAAACAAAAATCTGAAGATAAAAACAGGAAGCGACAATAACACTTTTAACCTGTTCTAATTAAGATATCCAGTAGAGGGAATCAAAAACAAAACCAACTTAATAAAGCTACAAAAGGCAAAATAAAAAAAAAATAAAAAAAATAAAGAAGGTGAAAATCAAAGTGTCTACACGATCAATAATTATTATTTAAAAATATTAAAACATTAAAAATTATATGAACTGCATGTGGCATTGGAAATGGAAGTTGAGAAATCCCTAGGAATACCAAAGCTGTCAGTTGTGAGTTGGCAATAATAGTCACCTCATGACGTGAATTGACTCCTCGGGTATAGGGGAATAACATAATCAGAGCAAATAATATCTATTTATCAATATCTTATTATGTTATTGGTAAGTTGTGTGCTATAACATGTTGATAGCTTATTATACTACCAGAACATAATTTGCTAGTGTGTGTATAATAACTTAGAAATAACAAATTGTGTTATGATAACAGAATGAGTTATTACTATGTTATGTTAGCTTTGATATTATTTTGCTATGAACTTGTCCCCCTCCCCCCGGAACATCTCCTGGGATTAGCTGACACTTCGGTAGCTTCATGGAATGTACAACGAATACCAACATAAAGATCTACGCAAACAATTCAAATCACATACCAAATAATAATATCTCATACGCTGACGACAATAGATGACAATATCTTAACCATAACAAATTGAGATATTTTTGAAAATTCCCCTGATTATGCATTCATGTTGTTTAATACGGGCCTGGTGTAAATGGTTAGCATCCATGCTTCTCACGCCTGAAAGACTTGAGCTCAAATCTCACCCCGGGCAAAACACGAATGACCTAAAATGTGTTATACAAAACAAATAAACAATAATCGTTAGTTCAACAACAGATGAACTTAAATTAAATTTTAAACAGGACGTTAACAGCAGAACATCAAGTTAAGTTGTTTTTATTTAAAAAGTCTTGACTGCATAATGAAAGCACAATATGATATCAGACTTCTGTCGCGGCAATTGAAATCAAATTTAGTTTTCATTATGATAGGAACTGCAAACTTTAATATCGATTTGCTTTCATTTTGTTAACCGAATTTGCTCGGGTAAGGCCATGTTGTCCTCTGCTGTCCGAAGAAGTCGTCTCCACTCTACTCGATCCATGGTCGCACTTAACCAGCCTCGTAGTCTGCGAAGGGTCCGCAGGTCGCCTTCTACTTGGTCGATCCACCTTGCCCGCTGCGCGCCTCTTCTTCTTGTTCCTGTTGAGTCGCTTTCTAGAACCATTTTCACTGGGTCGTCGTGCGGCATTCTTACGATGTGCCCAACCCACCGTAGTCGCCCAATTTTTAAAATGTGGACGATAGATGGTTCTCCCAGCTGCAGCTGGTGCAATTCGTGGTTCATTCGCCTCCTCCACGTTCCGTCATCCATCTGCACTCCACCGTAGATGGTACGCAACACCTTGCGTTCGAAAACATCAAGGTCCTCCACGAGCATAGTCCAGGTCTCGTGACCGTAGAGGACCACCGGTCTAATCAGCGTCTTGTAGACAGCCAACTTCGTGCGGCGGCGATTTTTATTCGGCTAGCGTCTTCCGGAGTCCAAAGTAGGCACGATTCCCTGCCATAATGCGTCTTTGAATTTCTCTGCTGGTATCATTTTCGGCGGTCACCAGTGAGCCCAAATACACGAACTCATCGACCACCTCGATTTCGTCACCGTCAATCTGAACTCGGGGTATTTTGTCTTTGATGCGTTGATGGCAAGTCCAATCCGCCGAGCTTCAGCCTTCAGTCTGATGTACGTTTCCGCCATCGTCTCAAAGTTCCGTGCCATGCTGTCAATGTCATCGGCGAAGCCAAGAAGCTGGATGGACTTCTTGAAGATCGTGCCTAGCTCTTCTGATCACACCTTCTAACGCGATGTTGAATAGCAGACACGAAAGTCCATCACCATGCCGTAACCCCCTTCGAGATTCAAAGGGACTCGAGAGTGTCCCCGATACTCGAACAACGCACATCACTCGATCCATCGTCGCCTTGACCAATCGCGTCAGTTTATCCGGAAATCCGTACTCGTGCATAATCTGCCATAGCTGATCTCGATCGATTGTGTCGTATGCGGATTTGAAATCGATGAACAAATGATGTGTGGGCACGTTGTATTCGCGGCATTTCTGCAGAACCTGCCGAATCGCGAAAATTTGGTCCGTGGTAGCGCGGGCACCCATGAATCCCACCTGGTATTGCCCCACTAACTCTCTTGCAAATGGTGACAGGCGGCGGCATGGAATTTGGGGACAGTACCTTGTAGGCGGCACTCAGCAGTGTGATCGCGTGGTAGTTGCAGCAATTCAACGTGTCGCCCTTTTTTTTAGATTGGCCGTACGACACGTTCCATCCACTCCTCCGGTAATATCTCCTCCTCCCAAATCTTGGCAATTACCTAGTGCAGCGCTCTAGCCACTGCTTCACCACCGTATTTTAATAGCTCACTTGGTAGTTGATCTACACCAGTTGCTTTGTTGTTCTTCAGTCGACCGATCTCCTCCTCAACTTCTTGAAGATAAGGGGCCGGTAGCCTGTCGTCTTCTGCGCGTGCTTCAAGGTCTGTTGCCGTGTGCCACCTTCGTTTTCTGCTGCATCACCGTTGAGGTGCTCGTAATAGTACTGCTTCCACCTCTCAATAACCTCACACTCGTTCGTGAGAAGGTTACCGTCCAAGTCCTTATATCGGCTTGCGGCACGTAGCCTTTGCGCGAACTTTTTAGCTTCTCGTAGAACTTCCGTGTGTCGTTTACACGGTACAGATTGTCCATCGTCTCGCGATCTCGGTCTTCCTGCTGACGCTTCTTCCTTCGGAAAACCGAGTTTTGTCTGTATCGCTCCACATTCAACCTCGTGCGGTGTTGCAGCATTCTCGCCCGTGCTGCATTCTTCTCCTCTACTAACAATTTGCATTCGCCGTCAAACTAGTCATTTCTTTGGTCCGGGATTGCAGTACCTAGTGCCTAGTGTCTTTCTCGTCGTCGGGTCTCCCTTCGTGTGGGCAGTGCACGTTGATGATGCTGTAGTTGAAGAAACGGCCCTTAATCCTCAACTTGCACATCCTCGTGTTGAGCGGCTGCCAACCAATCACGCGTTGGCGCATCTTACTCAGCACTACCAAGCCGGTTCCCAGCTCGTTGGTGGTGCCACAGCTCTGGTAGAAAGTAGCCACTCGATGCCCGCTTTTCCATACCTTTTGTCCCGTCCAGCAAAGTTCCTGCAGTGCTACGACTTCGAAGTTGCGTGGTTGAAATTCGTCATAGATTAACCTATCGCAGCCTGGGAAGCCGAGCGATTTGCAGTTCCATGTTCCGAGTTTCCAATCGTAGTCCTTATTTCGTCGCGTAGGTCTGTGTCGATTTTTCCGATTCGTATTTCTTTCTTCAGTATTTGCAACTTTATGTCTCGCCGGGGGGCCATCGTGCACATGTTTAGAGTCCCACGCTGGCACTAGGACGGTGATCAGCCGCTCCTAACATGGAGAACAGACGCCGTTCTGAGCCGCACCTCCATGGTGAACAGACGCTCTGGTTTGGTGAAGGATTTCCTCTATCACCGCCAGTGTTCGAGTCGCACCTCTTCACTTTGCAACATTGCCAAAGCTACGCAACCCAGCTGCAGTGATGCTACATTCTATACAATTTCAATCTGTATTTTCACCGTATAAAATCTTTTAAATCTTCATCTGGCTGACAAAAATCTATATAATTTCTTTATTACAATCTAAGTGTGGATCATCCTAAATCTCCGTTGAGTTCATTCAAAGTTCAGTAAGTGTTTGTTGAAAGTTTAGAATCATGAAAAATTATTTAACTTTGCTTTTTAAAGATTTAATCTGTCTAAAACATCTCGAAATCCTGGATCTTGATTTCTTTTTTTGTGATTTGTAGGTTAGTTAAATTTGATGTTTATTCCATGGAGTGCTCGATACGATCGTGTACAGTTTTACATCCGGTGGCTCGATGTAGGTCTTCTATCCTCGTGTTGTACGGAGCAATCATGATGATTAGCAACAGTCGATTTTGGACTGTCTGAAGCTTTCATTTGTGGGTCCAGGGCATGATCCCAACAAAGGCACTACGGGAGCGAGGATCATTTTGAACACCAACATCTTGTTCTGCTGTGAAATCCGGGATCGTCGGAATATCAGCGAATAGAGCGCTTTCAGGAGACCAATGCACCACTGCTTCAGCTTATCCCTGTGTTCACGGTACAGGAGTTTATCGTCGATGGTAACGCCGAGGTAAAATACGTTGCTGATCCAGTTGATGGGACAGCCGTTCACAGAGACGTGACAGCCCGTTGGTGGGGACATCTTTGGCGATTTTTGATGCTTAAAGACAATTGTTTGCGTTTATGCCTCGTTGACTTTGATTTCCCAGCTGGTGAGATAGGAAACATAATTTATCACTCCTCGCTGCAACCGGGCTCGGTACTCCTTAGGCATTCGTCCATTTGCTATTATTGCACTGTCATCCGCATATAACGCCAAGCTACAGCTGTTGGGTTGGTGTGGTATGTCAAATGTCAAAATGCTGTACAACATTAGCACCAGCAAGTTGCCTTGTGGCAGTCCCACTGGAATCTCATGGAGTTCAGCGTTGGTTCCGTGTAGATGGACTCGAAAACGTCGTTCGCTTAAGTGTAGCTCCGTATCATCCTGACCAGGTATACAGAACAGTTCGCATGCACTAGTTTGTGGATTAATCCGTCGTGCCACACGTTGTCGAAGGCTTTCTCCAGGTCCAGTAAAGCCATGGTGGTGTTCTTGGAAATAAATTTGTTTCGTTTAATAATATGTTCCACTCGGATCAGCTGATGGACGGTGGAATGTCTTTTCCTCAAGCCGAACTGCTCCGCGATGATGACTTGGTGGTCTTTGATGTGCTCCATCTGTCGCTGAAGGATGAGCAGCTCGAAAATGTTGCTCACCGCCGACAACAGTGTAATGGGTCTGTAGCATCTCGTGAAAATGCCAGCTAAGAAACCGTAGGCTTTGCTGGACAGCTTCTTCAGGGTCAGGTTGAAAATGTTATCGTTTCCTGGGGCCTTCATATTCTTGCCACGCTTCACGGCAGCACGGACGAAACTCGGCCAGCGGGAGGGACATCGTAGATTTGCTAATCAAGCTGATTAATTGTTCTCTGTACCG